TTTCAAGCAAGGGGAAGATAAAAAGAGGGAAGACACACACACAAAGAAAGAGATGGAAGGAAGGAGTGAGGAGGTAGGGGAGAGGGAGAGGGGAAAGAGGGAGGAAGGTAGAGAGAGAGAGGCAGAGATGGAGAGAGAGAAGGAGAGACAGAAAGACAGTAAAAAAGATTAAGAGAGAAAAACACACAGAGAAAGATGGTAAGGAGGAAGGGAGGGAGAGAGACACAAAAGGGAGAGAGAGGGAGAGACAGAGAGAGTAAGAGAGAGAGAGACATACAGAGGGGGGAAAGGAAAGACAGACAGAGAAAAAGGCAGAGATGGGAGTGGTGGGTGGGGGAAGGAGAGAGAAGGAGGATGAGGCAAAGAGAGAATGAGGCAGAGAAAGACCGAGAGATGGGAGAGGGAGGCTTGGTTACTTCTTCCTGTCCCAGTGCTGACCCTCAGCCTGTGTGTAAAGACTGCTGTCAGCAGGAGAGTCCATGTTTTTAATCTCCCTGTTTCCCTGTTAGAACCTCCCAAATGGTCCTTTCTGGACTTTGATCTCCAGGCTCTGGGGCCGGATGCCTCCGTTTTGCTCTCAGGCAGCACCACCACCGCCTTCTATGACCTTAGGCAAATTGCGTGACCTCTGTGCTCAGCTTCCTGTGCAATGGGGATAGAAACACCTAGTGGAGTGGCTGTGCTGACAGAGCTGATGTTTATTTTGTCTCTCTGTCCTCAGCGCAGTGCCTGGTATGTAGTACAGGCCATGGAAATGACTGGTAAATGCATAACCCTCTGTGTCCAGGCACCTTGCCCTACAGGACTTGTACCCCACCCTTGGCCTGGGCTTCCTTCCCTGGACACTGGCTGTCACTTTGATCAGAGGGAACCAAACTATGCCTTCCTATTTTAGGTCTTTGAATATCTAGGCACTGAATTCTCTGGGGGCTCTGGGAGGGGGTGCATAACGAACTCCTAGGCCTGTGCGGTGTTTGTCCTAGGCTCAAGTCTCCTTGGTCACCTGCGTGGTCTTGACCACCTGCCTTTTCCTGCTGGTCAAACCTCACCTCCTTTCCCTCCTCCGAGCTTTAGACTCTCTGGCTTTCTTTTCTGCAGAGAAATTTCTGCCTGTGTGATTCCTGACAAATTGTTTATCTGGACTCATCTATCCTCGTGCACAACAATCTTTTTACATTTCCCTGGATTCTGATCTATTTGTCTGAACCCAAACGTGTTTTCTCCCTGGCATTGAGGGTCCCTGGCATCTGGAGACCCACCAGCTTGCATGTCCAACATCTGCCTGGCTGCAGAGTCTTTGCCTTTGTTATGCCAGTGTGACCTCCATCCCCACCCCATTGCAAACACAGTCATCAAAGCTGCACAGACAAGATATTATGAAAACTCTTAGCAGATGATGATGCCGGATTTATTCAGGAGGCATTATTATCCCTGTAAGGATCCTCGGAGAAGGCTGGGTGTCAGAGGTTGGTCTGTTTTCTGCCTGCTCTTCATAAAATTTTCCATTAATTAAGCAGGGCAGTATGGGCTTGCAGCTCTGGCCACATTATTTGTCTTTTTATTTGGTAGTTACATGGTAGTATCTTCAGTACAGGAGCCCTGAAATTATACACTGGGCCCTAATATTTCAAGACTCAACAGGAACAAATATGCAATTATATAGTTCAGTGGTGCAGCACCACAGCAGCGCAGGGAGGGATGAGAGGCACCACTTCAGCTCTGGGAAAGTTCCTTCCAAAGGAAACTTGAGCTCTTGGACCCGACTCTTTTCCAAGGCAAGGACCCTGCTCCTGAGTCTAGCAGGAAACTCCTTCTGCCTCTGGCTAAGTGTAGGGCATCCATCCAGGTCCTTCCAGGCAACGGAGGTGTGGGATGGGGGCACTCACCTTCTCTGATGCCATGTGCATCTCTTGGCATCTTCACAGCAATTCACTAGTAAGGAGGGGGTAGTGCAAAGAAGTGGTCTCTAGTGGGAAACCACGTGGGTTCATTTGTCTACCTTTGGGGAAGTTTCTCATTCTTTCTGAGCCAGGGCTTTCTCGTCATCTAGCAAATGAGGATAGAAATGACCCCTGCGTCAAGGGTGACGCGGAGAATCAAATAAGATAATCCAAATAAAAGGCATTTCGCTGTTATGATCCCCATTTGACAGATGAGGAAATTATGGCTCAGAGAGGCTAGGGAACTTATGACAGCAAGTGATGTCAGTCGTGATTCTAGTCTGTTTTGTGTGCTGGCCTGCTGTTTCCCCTTAGCTTTGTGGTGGACTCTGAGCAAAGTCAGTTAGTGGCCCGACCTGTTCATAATGGCACTTGACTATAATTTAGAAAGGGAAACACGCTGTGCTCAGCTCCATGTGCAAAGGGTAGTGCACTTAGAGTTAAAGGGGCTGGAAGGGATGTCCCAGGACATCTTGCACAAGTCCTGGCGCAGTCTCTGAGCACCTCATGGATAGTGAGAGCAGGAAAACATGAGGGCTCTAACAGAGCCCTGTGTGTGTGAGAAAGGGTGAATGTGAAGGTGTTTGAGTGTGTAAGTGTTTGCATTTGTGTGACTGTGAATGCATGTGTGTGAATGTGTGTGACCATTTGTGTGTGTGTGTGTCTGAGAGTACGTGAATATATGTGCAAATGTATATAAGCATGTGCATGTGTGCACATGTGAGTATATCTAAGTGTGTGTGTGGCCATTTACGTGTGTAAGTGAATGTCTATGTGAGTGTATGTGTGCAAATGCATGTGTGTGAATGTGTTTGTGTGTGTGTGACCATATGTTTGTGTGTGCCTATATGAGTGTAGGTGTGTAAATGTGCATGAGAGTGTGTGTTTGTGTGTGTGTGTTGCAGGGAGGTGTCTGAGGGCTCCAGGAAGGAATCACAGAACCAGAGGTTTCCATGGTAGCTGAGATACCCGCTGGTCCTTAAATAATTAACCAGCCAGAGCTTTTAAATACATTTCAAAACAAATACTCATTTCCCTTTAATGCAGTGCTGATTCCCTTTTTACGCACTGCCTGAGGCTACGCGAGCCTGACTGTAATTTTCCTTCTGATGCAGTGGCAGCATCTTAGGTTGTCATGGAATGCAGCTCCTGTTGTCAGGGGCCCAGCCTGTGACCTCACCTTATCCAGAGGAAAGAGAGGAGGTGCTCTTCCACTCCCCTTCCAAGGGTGGCATCTGGGATGTCTAAGGGGTCAGCTGTATCTCCGCTCCCAAACTCCCTTTCACTTGCTAAAGGTCTAGCAGACAGACTCCTCTGAAAAATTTCCTCCTGCACACACCTCCTGAGAGAGAACCCTCCCCCAGTGCACAGCCTTTCTGATCATTTCGTTCTCTGGTGACAGTTCACCCTGACCAGGGTGAGAGAACCCAGCTGCTCCTCTCTCCTCCGCGTACCACAGTGTATGCACCATCATGGCATATGTGGCCTGTACCTAAGATCCGTCTGCCGATTTGCCTCCTTAGGAGAGAATCAGCCATCTGACATGGCCGTTATATTATTTTCTGTTCTTATTTATCTAATCTTCTTATACCCACATCCCAGAGGCCTAGAGCTCCATGGAACTGGGTGTCTGTGTGTGTTTGGGGGTGGGGTGGGGAAAGGGTGTGCTAAATATTTTGAATTTTGCCTTGTTCGGGTCTGATGCCTGACTTTTTCAGCCTCAGTGTCATTTGGGTCAGCAAGTGACATTTGGGGAATCTGGAAACCACAGCATCGGAGGAGAGGCCCATAAGCCAGGGTTCGCATCACTGGGGAGGTTGTCCTGGCATGATGCTCTCCTTCTAGGTGACAGCTGGGTCATCAACTCTGACATGTTTAATTACCATTCCAACAGGACTCTGGTCAAGGGAGGCAGCGGTGAGGGTTCTGGACTATCTGTCAATTAACAAGAACCGTGAAAAGAAAGCAGCCAGTATTTGTCGAATACTGACTAGCTCAAAAGTTCCGGTATTTTACCTGCATGACCTCATGGCCGCCTGACCTTATTATATATGGCCAGGTATTATGATTAGCCCCATGTCACAGAGGAAGGAAGCAGGCCCAGAAAGTTTACTTAATTTGCCGAGTTCCCAAGATAGCCAGTGCCGGAGCCAGGGTTTGAACCTTAAACTGTATGGTCAATGCTTGTAGCTACTATGCTCACTCATGTGAACAGGGCTATAACTTGGAGAAAAGCAATCCAACCCAGTCCCTTAAAAAGAATCTGAGTGGACATGAGTGAGGTCTGAACACCTCTAGTGGAAGAACTGTGATCTAAGTGAACGAGGGTCCACCCGCCCCCACAGTAAGGCCAAACACCTACACTGACATTCACAGTGAGAGAAATGAGGGCATTCCTTTGTGGGGCACCATGCAAGGAGAACTGAACAGCTGACACTGAAGACTCGATGGCGTACAAGCAAGAGTTCTTAAAGGCAGGGACAATTTCAGGAAAGCAGAAATTACAGGCAAAATCATGTATCAATACATGGAGGTTTTACGTTGGCTTGGCCTTAACAAGTGGGATATCTCGAAGTAAGAGCGTACAGGTTAGGTAGATTAAAAGATTTTCTGATTTGCAATTCGTTAAGGAAGAGAAGTTTTACTTCAAAATTGGGATCAGCAGAGAAGAACTTTAGCTCTGGCTTGTGGGTGTGACTTCCTCTAAGGCCCCTTTGGAAGACATTTCGAACAAAGTGATGATTAGAGCTCAGGGCTCAGTTCCCCTGTCTGAGGTCTATGTGCCAGCAGATCCACTTGGTGGGGTTTAGGGCTTCTGAAAAACAACTCGGAACACATGTTGAGATGTTATATTTAGTTTCTGGAGGGAACCAAACATCCTATGACTCTAACTTTCTTGGCTATTGTTTTAAGCTACTATTGGCTTCTTGCTTATTAAATTGCCCGTGTACTTCCCAGGGCTAGCTAGGTGTCTGAAATTTCTATGAATGAACTCAAGATTCTACTTCACTTCCATGCTTGCAAAGCAGTATGTGGCATGGGGAGGGTTAGCAGCGGGCCCTTAAGAGGCACCCCCACTCTGTTTCAGGACCAGGAGCCTCAGGCATGAAGAGAACACAGAGTGACAGTTACAAGGTGCAAAAGGAGGAGACCTGAGGGTACCAGGCTGGAGGGTGAGCCCACAGCAGGTCAGGAAGGGAGGACACAGCACCTTGAGAATGCCTCACAGAAAAGAGCAGGTAGGATGAAAGAGGGTGGACACTCAGGGTTTGTAAGTGGTTGCTTTTCAAACCTCCAGTGTGAGAAACGAGCAGCTGAAGCTGCTAATGATGGTCTCAATCTGTCCAGTCAGATGGTTATCCAATCGACCCTATAACTCTGTGCCTGCAGGTGAGGGACACCATTATTTGCCTGTGGGGAGCTGAAAAAGAAGCAAGAGCTGAGGTGAAGATAAGCTGCCAGAACCCAGGTAGACTGCCCTCTGCAGCCTGTCTACCCTCCACAGCCCTGCCCTGCAGCTCTCTGCACTCCTCTTTGCTGTCTTTTTTTCTCTATTCTCTCCTGCCATTTTCTTCACTTAGTCATCCATATAACTATTCAACAGACATTTGTGGGGCACCCATTATATTCCAGGTAATGGAGATGCAGCTGTGAAAGCTAGAGCCTCTGCCCTCAAGGAACTTACAATGTAAAGCACTCAGAGACAATGCCATGCAGCATGGCCAGTCCTGCAACCCAGAGAAGCAAGGGGCCATGACAGAGAGAAAGGAAAGAGGAGGGGAACAGGCAAATCCCAGAAGAGACTGGCATTTGAGTCAGCAGACTGAGTAAAGAAGGTGCCCCTCCTTGATGTCAGTGGCACTGTCCAATCTACTGAGGGCCTGATGAGAACAAAAAGGTCAGGGAAGGGCAAATTCACTGTCTCTGCTTGACGTGGGAAGCCATTTTCTCTTGCCCTTGGACACTGGTGTTCCTCACTCTCTGGCCTTCAGACTCAGACTTGGACTTACACCATCGGTGCCCTGGTTCTCAGGGCGCTGGGCTTGGATAAGAACTATGCCACTGCTTTCCTGGACCTCCAGCTTGCAGATTTTTTTATTTGATCTTCTTATACCTGCATCCCAGAGGCCTAGAGCTCCATGGAAGTGGATGTCTGTGTGTGTTTGGGGATGGGGTGGAGAAAGGAGGTGCTCAATATTTGAATTTTGCCTTGTCCGGGTCTGACGCCTGACTTTTTCAGCCTCATCCTGTGGGACTTCTCAGCCTGCATAAGCACGTGGGTCAATCCCTCATAATAAATCTCTTTCTATTTGTCTGTACAGATTCGGTTGCTTCTGTGACTCTGTAGAACCCTGACGAATACAGCGGATGAAGCATCTGAGAAACATCTCCTGAGGCTTGCTTACTCCTACTGCCTAAACCCAGGGACACGACCAGGACTCCCACTAAGAAAAAACTCTCTAAGTATCATTTCAAACCCACAGTTTCTCTCCTGAGAGCATGTCATTCGTCCTAGTTTTGCCCACTGCCTGAGCACCTCATCCTGGCCATTCTTGGTTCACTTGCATAAGTCCTGAGATCCCTGGAAGGTCAGCACTCACTTCTCCCAGGCTGGTCTGGTCTGAAATCTTTCTTTAAACTTCTAAGCATGGCTTGGAGGAGGATGTGCTTTGCCAAAGTCGAATCAAGCACACGACAGCCACCAAACGACCCAAAGTGAAATAAATACTGTGCAAGCAATCTATGTGTCCTAAGGGAATCGGCGCTAAAGAGCTTTCTTGAAGAGTCAGGAAAAGGACCTAATAGTAATCACAGTCTGCATTTGCATGACGCAGTATAGTTAGTAAGTCCCTTAACATGCCCTCTTGTGGGTTTCTCAATGCCATCGTCTGTGATGGTTGTACGGTAACCCTCATTTGATGGGTGAAGGAATGAGGGTTCTGAAGGGGCCAGTGACTTGCCCAAATCTGGACTCAGCCGTGAGGCTTGGTGCAGAGTCCACACCCTTGGGCCCCAAGTGCTGAGGCCCTTTCTCCCTTACTCAGATAAATCAGTGAGAAGAGAAGAGAAGCAAATCCAAGAAGGAAAACAAGCATGAAACAGCAACAAATAGGAGTGATCACAGCCATGTGAGGATCACAAGCAAGTTCCCTTCCAACCTGAGCTGATTCAGGCAGTGGGGCTCCTGCCCAGGCTGAGGGAACCTTGAGGTTTAAAATGTGATCAAGTCAGATTTAGACTGAAGTATCAAAATGTCAGCAATACCAAGCGGTAAACACAAAGTCCCACACTGCCTGCCTTCAAGCAGTGTCTGTAACACCGAACGAATGCGGACAACACAAACGAGAATGCGTAAAAGAGCAGAATTTACGATAATTTCTCATCCATCCTTCAAAATGTTTTACTATGGAAAATTTCAAAGGTATATAAAAGTAAGAATACTCTTAATTTTTTTCAATTTTATCTTGATATAATTGCAGACCCACGTGCAGCTATAAGAAGTAATACAGAGAGGTATTATATAGTGTTCATCCAGTTTCTTGAAATAGTAACATCTCACAAAACTATAGAATAAAATCAAAGTCAGGAAATTAACATTGATATGTAACCACTATCCTGGAACCAATCTCTTGTGTGTACTGAGGGATGACTGTATAAACTTTTTTCAAGCGACCACAGAAAATTCGTCATGATAAATTATATCCTGAGCCCCCCAAAAAGTCAACAACACTAAAATAATTGAAATCATGAAAGATATTTAACATCACAAAACATTAGGAAAATTCAAATTAAAATCACAATGAGATATCACCACATAGCTATCAGAGTGACTAACACCAAAGACTGGTCATGATGCAGAGAAATTCGATTACTCACACATTGCTGGTAGGAATTTAAAATGTCACAGCCACTCTAGAAAATAGTTTTGGCAGTTTCTTACAAAGCTGAACATGCATTTATCGTATGACCCATAAATTGCACTCTTGGGCATTTATCCCACAAAATGCAAAACTTATGTTCCTAATAGACCTTTATAAAATGTGTTTAACATCTTTATTTATAATAGTCAGAAACCAGAACCAACTTCAATTTTTTTCAATGTGCAAATTTAATCAAATTGTGTATAAGCCTATCATGGAATACTACTCAGCAATCAAAAGGAACAAATTACTGATGCATGCATCACTAGGATGCATTTTCAAAACCATTACACTGGGTAACTAAAACCAATCTCAAAAGGTTACACAGTGTGTGACTTAATTTATATAACATCTCAACCACTTTAAAGAGGAAATAGTAAAAAATGTTGCTCTAAGCATGCCAACCATCACGTCCAGCTTTTTATAGGAACCATGACTCTGAAACAGATGGAATTCACTGCTCCACCACCTGGCTTGCCCTTCTGTGCCACCCTTTCATTGTTATTTGGGGGATGTTTCCCTTTAAGGTAGAAATGGCTCTGAATCAAAGCCAATATGTCTCATGCAATTATAAAACAAATTATAGAGTCTCAGAATGTTAGAGGGAAAGAAACCTTAGAGATCATCTAGTTCAGCGGTTCACAACTCTGGCTGAACAACAGAATCACCCCAGGAGCTTTAAAATAGACTGATGTCTGGGGCCTAACCTCAAAGGTTCTAGTGTAACTAATTTGAGAAAGTTTCCAGGCATCACTATTTTTCAAAAGCTCCCCAAGTGATTCTGAAGTGCAGCCAGGTTTGAGAACCACTGGCGAATCCAAGCTCCTCATTTTACAGATGAGGAAACTTTAGGCCTCCAAAGATGAAATAATAGCCCACGGTAGGTCACATGGCCAGACTGTGTTAGAGCTGTCTCTTGAATCTCTTCCCACTATGTGGTGGCCCTTTTGCATTCATTGTCACATCCATCCCCCTTCGAAGACTTCGAGGCAAGATGCACCATTATAATTACTCTCACTGTAGAGATAATACAAGTGAGGCACACAGAGAGATAATGGTGTGTTTAGGACATTGCAGATTGCAACACACAGAGAGATAATGGTGTGCTTAGGACATTGCAGATTGCAACAGAGAAAAACCACAAGTTTGGCCTCAGCTTCTAGCCCAGTAAGAGGCCCTAAAAGGAGAGTCAGGCACTCATTTATCAAGACGACGTGATTGAGAGACAAACTACAAACCCAAGCATATGGAGGACTACAGGGCTTTCCAAGGGCACCCTCCCAGACCAATTTCTCTTGCATCTGTTCAACATAACTCATTAAAGCATCCCCAATTTTCATAGATCTTCATCTGTTACTGTCGGCACCTATTGGATCTCCATTTGCACCCAATTTATCTCTGCCTCTTACTAGGAATGAGAACGAACAGCCCCTGCCCTTCTCACTTCTGAGGTTGCTTATTTACAATTGCATTTTAGTGTGAACTGGCCCATTTATTCATTAGTTTTAATGGGTCCCTTTCAATGTCTAGTTACCATCAAGGATGTTATAATCATTCACTATAGCATCCTGGGTGTCTACATTTTATTAAATATGGTTTATAACAGCGTGAGTGGGGGTGTGGATGTGGAGAGAAGGGCACAAAGAAGGCAAAATGAAGAAGCTAAGTCAGCAACAGATAACTTGGTCCCCTGGGGATCTTGGTGTTTCAGGAGGTCCCTGGCAGTGACTAGTGGAGGACAAGCAAGTCTAAGGGCTGTCTCTCAGGGATTCTCTAAGAGGCAGAAGAAGATGCCCCAAACATCCAAAGAGGAATGAAAACCAACTCCTGTCTTCATGTCGAATACACTTTTTGCCAATTGTCTTGGTGCCATCACTGCTTGGAAATGAAATGCCTTCATTGTTGTTTCTCAGCTAAATCACTTTACAAGAAGTGTCTGAAACTTGAAATGTATCAGAAAATGTCACTGGTGTAGTTTTTGGTTTATGTGTTATCATTGCTTTTCTTTTATTCCTTTTATTTTTTAAAGTTGAAACTGGTTCTTGTCTTTAAGCCAAGTGAAATGGCGCATAGTGTTAAAGAAAGCAAACTTTAGCAGGTAATATCTCCCAAAAGGCAGACCATGGTTCTGGAGAAACACGGGACTTGAGCCACAGCCCTGGGTTTGGATATGGCACTTACCAGCTTTAGGGCCAATACTTTCCATTTGAGTTACTGTTACACACAAAACCCAGTTAAATCACGGAATGGGACTTGTATGTGTGCTTTAAATACCAACCTAAGAGTAAGATTTTTAAAGTCTGGTTAAAAAGGGTAAAGTAAGACTCGTGGGGTCCCTTTTAGCTGGGCCTAGGCAGAACACAAGGTCAATTGTCCCTTCTCTGATTTCGTGGGTCACTAATTCTCCTCCACTTCCGGTCCTGATAACTTATACAACTTTGCATCTTCATAAATATCTGTTCTTTCATCTATATGCCTGTCCTTCTATCCATCTGTCCATTCATCTACCCATTTATCCATCTATCTATCCATGTATTCACCCATCCATCTATCCACCCATGACTTCATCCATCCATCCACCCATCCATCCATCCACCCACCCACCCACCCATCCATCTATCCATCCATCCACCCATCCATCTACCCATCCATCCATCCATCCATCCATCCATCCATCCATCCACCCACCCATTCATCCATCCATCCATCCATCCATCCATCCATCCATCCATCCATCCATCCACCCATCCACCCATCCACCCATCCATCCATCCATCCATCCATCCACCCATCCACCCATCCACCCATCCATCCACCCACCCACCCACCCACCCATCCACCCATCCACCCATCCATCCACCCAGCCACCCATCCACCCATTCTGTAGCCCCCATGTCCTTTTCATTTGCAGGAAGCCCTGCATTAGAGGCTTTAAGGAATCATTCCTGCAGCTAGCCACTCCGCTAACCACATGTAGTCGAAAGTCCCAGCTCTGAAATGATGTTGACTCAGGGCTGAATTGACTTTCATGGGTCTTAGGCATTTATGTTCATAGATGCTTTTAGTCCATTAAAAATTGTATATGTTGTGTGTGTGTGTGTGTGTGTAAAATATTATATAACTGTGATGGTATAAATACAAATATAAAATGGAATGGATTATATTTTTTTTTCTGATTTAAAATAATTCAAACATTTTGGGGGGCCCCAAACAGTATTGTGGGCTTTTGCTTTTCTGCTTGTGAGAAATACAGTCCTAAAGCTGATCTACGCTCCCAGAACCAAAGAATACTCCCATTTACCTTTCCAAAAGGGTTGTCTCTGTCTAGTTAGGAGAAACTCCTGAACCTAAAGGTGATTTCAACTTAAAAACTAAAATGTAATATATTCTGGTTGAGTAGAGGAATGTCTAGCCCAGGAAAATCCCATTGGGAGCCAGAAGCCCAATAAAATATGCATAGAGTAATGAATGAATGAATGAGTGAATGCTTTAAATGGGAGTGTACATCTCACTTTGCTTCAAGAGAAGATAATTCAAAAATTATAATAGAAGGCTTTTACTTTAAAAATGTCAACTGACACCTACCTAATCAACCAAGTTCAGAAAATACAGGACATTCACATCCAAAGAAAGGATGGATGAGCACCTAAGGCCAAATGCCAGATTTTTTTTTATAGATACACAGAGCAATTTTGTTAGGTTAAAACAATAATGAGCTAATGCCATCATTTAATGGATCACCTACAAAATTTAGGCACTTTAAATGCATTATCTTTCACTCTCACCAAGCTAAATATTTTAACTCCATTTTACAGTTGAGAAGAGGGAGAGAGCGTGATTAAATGTCCCGCTCAA